AAAAGGCCGTCTCTTTGCTGGGGACTTATTTGAAGAGCCTGAAGCTGACATTCCAAGAATAAATGAATGTACATAAAAGATGAAAATTAGAATGAAGCGACTTAAGCATGAGACAGCAACCTCTGGCAGTGTCCAGTGAGGGGTGTAAAGGGCAGTGTGCCTCTAATGCAGATTCAGAGCGCACTGGCAGGGTGACTAATGACCTACAGTGCTCTCAATTATTATCACTTGCACACATTTGCACACACACATTCAGCCAAACCCCATATGATTCACTCTAGTTAAAGCTTTGTAGAAGTGTGACTCAGCTGCAGCTTTCTTTCTCCATCTCAATTTCCCAAGACTGGTAGACTTGAGTTCTAAATGAGGACATCAGTACTCTGGGAAATAGGTTTGTGCCACAGAAAAGCCACCCCAGGGCAGTACAAATTAGCTTTCTGCCCTGCCATAATCAATGCCAAAGTGGGTCCTATTCATTCCTGGGGTCATATCTTTCATTACGTTATGACCTTGTCTTGAAGGTGCTTTACCTTTCAAGCTTCACTACTTTATTTTTGAGACCCAGTGTTTGCAAGCCTTTTTTTATACCCATTAAGGTGCTCTCATAGTAGGTCCTTCTCCGTGGTTAGGGTGTGGGCTGGGGAGTTGAGCTGATTGTTAGAGGAAACAGATTGCAGTCTTGGGTCGGCACTGTGTTTCTATGCTCTCTGGGAGGTTTCTGGTTGCCAGGTTGTGGTGGTATCTTCCCATTCTGCTGATATTGGGCATGTTGTGTTGTATAGATGCTGTGGGAGCATTCCGAGGTCATTCAGGGAACCTGTTGGTCTTGGCTCTTTTCCGCCTCTTGGTGCTGTGACAATCTCTGTGGACTCTTGGGCCTGCTCCCAGGGTTGGTGGGCAGTTCTTCCTACTTGGGCCTGTGAGACTCCCTTTCAATTTAACTATCAGCCAGTGTTTATCTCCACGTTTGGGCATACATCTATGCAGGTACCATATATACAAACATACATGTGAATGTGGGCACAACACATATAAAGTATGTGGAAGAGGATACAGTGGCATAATTACACGCATTCTCAAAAAATCTGATTTAATTAAAGGGCTTTTAATCAAAGGAAGGGAAAAACTGCCAGCACTCTTTTAAAAGTATAATTAGGATAAATTTAGGGTTTTTACAGCGCTAATTCAAAACATACCATATTGAGAAACTATGCAGCGTAAATCTAGTCAAATCAGTATATTTCAATATAATAAAATAATTCTGATTATTAATTATCTGACTGGACATAACACAGGTTCACTCATAATACAAATAATTTTTTAAGAGATACAATTTAAAAGATTTTTTTTTTATTTCAATGGAATTAACATGGATTTAATTAATTAAACAGTAATAATAATTTAGTTCGTGACAGGCAATGGCGAAACCATGAACAATTCTAGCTGTGGTAGATGTCGACTTACTGTGCTGGCAGTGAAGCTCTGAAAAGGGCTAGCGGGAAATTTTTGAATTTTTATTTATTTTTATTTTTTCTGTATTTCCTAAAAGGATCTGTAGTGTTTTTCTTTTTTGTTTGTTTTGTCTTTCTTATTTTTTCTTCTTCTGCATTTGATCCCACCTGACACTTCCATCTGCAGTGTTCACCCTCTGACTTGGAGTAATATTCTCCTTGTTGTGCATAGGGGAAATGGTTATTAGAATGTGAGCAGGACCCTGATTTCTACAGAGAACTTACTGATGATGAAATGTAGGTCACAATGCCTTTCAGGAAAGTAGAGCAGACTAGGAAATGTTACCAACAGTCTAATCCATACCTCCCTCCACATATTCTGTATTTGTTACGAATATGGACTCTGCCCGGGCCAACAAAAAATGTTATTTACTTCTTTCAATTCAGGACAATCTTTGGCAAATTATACAAATGGCTTTAATCTAAATCTGCCAAGCTGATTATTAATTATAAGCCAACTATATTCTATCATACTCTGACATAGATAAATTAGATGTTTTTTTTCTTCTTTGTAGTGCAAATCACCACTACTCTGTGGAACTACAATCAGACCCAACATGCTGTTTTTAGAATAAGGTCGTCTTTTAGGTGATGCTGCAGTAAATCTATCAACTAGGCTATAATCCTTGTGTGGCATGTTAACATTACTTGCCTCTGGGATTTCACTGATCTTGATCCACTTGTTTCCTCTGAAGCTCATGCAGGTAAAATGAGAAAAATAAGTTTATATTATTTTTATTTCAGTCCCTGCTTTCAGTAATACAGGAAGATTTATTTTCAAAGGCATATTATCACCAGAGCGGCTTTATTCATCATTTTTACCCGTAATGACATGCTTTGAAAGACGGATAGACTGGGCAATCTTGAGGCTAGCACTGATCTGGTTTATATGAAAGCTGGTAGCAGGAGATTTAAAACCAGCTCTTAATCACAGCATTCAACAAATTAATTCAAATTGGCTTGCTGGAGGATGGCATCGCTATATCAGTGCTGCCAGGTTTGGCCTTTAAGCCGGAGTCTCCTGTCTGGACGGCTTGCAGACAGCGTTGCCTGCAGATATTCCTCCAGCCCCAGGAGGACCCTCTATCCTGCTGCGTCTGCTCTTCTGGCTCCTCACACACATCCATCCCGCCTGCTCGGCCTGTCAAAGCCTGGGTCCCCTCCGAGCCACCCCCCCGCCACACACTCCCATCTCCAGCTTCCTTCCCCACTGTTTCCCTCCGTTCCCCCCACCACCACCACCGCCCTGTGGTTTCCCCTCTCTTCCTTCGCTTCACCGGGCTTGTGAAGGTGAGCCAGTTCCCCAGTGGCACAACTGTACAGATTGCAATGCTTCCTGCTTAAATGGTGGCAGTTCTCCTGTGAATACACCCTTTTAAAAAGTGTTGTTGTTGTTCTTCCTCTTTATAAAATTTCCGTTTGACTATTTCTGTTTGCTAAACACGACTTACTTCTATATGTCCTTATTATTTAGTCTCTACGCTTCTCCCAGGTCAGCTCTCCTTGACATGACAAGCAGGGGAGCCTCGGGCTGCTGGATGTGTCTCCTAATAGCAAGACTAATGAAAAATAAACTTCCCCTGAGGTTTAAGGCCAGTTTGGTGACAGCTGTCATCCCATTACTTCTCCCTTAAAAGCTCCTTTATGAGCAGAGCAATGACAACAGTATTAGGTATGCTCCAGACAGCTTTTATGTAACTTTGTCTCTGAAGGTCATGTGTGTTTTGATTATGTCCATCCGGAGATGGTGGTAAGTGTTGCTCTTCAGTGCAAGTTTTGTCTTTTAGCTTTATAGAAACCTCATTTCCAGGTTAGAGTGCTTTGATTTTTGTTGCCGTGCAGAATTGAAAGGGAATTTTCATCATTATTTGATTTTGTTATAAGGTTGCTCCAATAGACATTTCTATGATGTGTATACCTAAGTGGAGACAGATAAAAAATATATTAGACTTTAAATGTAACTTTTACAAGGAACATTAAACTATAGTTGGATTAGCTCTGGGTTCTTTTTGAATATCCGTTGATTTACAGTTCAGTTCCAAGTTTTACATCCACTCATTAAATCTATGAATGTCAGATTTATTTATTCATTTATTTGATTTGTTGTTGTTTAATGGCACAAATGCAGGTTCAATATAGTTCTTTCTTAATCAAAAATTAGGTGTTACAATTTAAGTTCATTTTATTTTTTATCACAAAAAATACTGGCTCCCCCCAAAACAGTTTAGTTTTTCTTTTCTTTTCTTTTTTTAATCTCTGTAAATCCCTTTATTGTCCCACAAAAGGGAAATTCGTTCTCTGCATTTTGACCCATCCCCTTGGGGAACAGTAGGCTGCCATTGTGTGGCGCCTCAGGGAGAAATCAGGGGTTAAGGGTCTTGCTTAGGAACCAAGAGTGCAGGTTGTGGGGATCAAACCGGGTACTTGCAACCTTCTCAGAGCACAAGCACACTGCTCTAACCACTAGGCCACCACTCCCCTTGTTCCTAGAAATAAAAGGTATTAGAAATATAATACAAATCCCTTTTCAGTTCCCACTTGAATTCGCCCAATTTTGGACAATGAAATTGGACAATGAAATTGTCTATAATTCTGACTGTATGTTTGAGTTTATTGACTTTAAGTTTGAAGCTTAGTTATGCATTTTCATTTTAGTTGAGGTTGGAGCTTTAGAAAGACCATTTTATTTGACTAAAAGTAGCCCTACACAGACTATGTGTGGTTTTTAGAATAAGAGGCAAAGCTGCCTGGATGGATTAGGTGGTTGTATACATATCCAGTCTGAATTGATTCAAAGCGGTTTTTGCAAAGGATATTAGAATGGACACGGGACATAGCTAGTATAAAGCCTGCCTAAGGATACATCCTCATGCTTTGACTATAGCTTAAATACTTAATAAAAAAAACAGTTTTAAAAGATGAAACATGAAAACCGTCTCTGATGTGTTTGAATTAATGAAGGGAACTGATAAAATGACCTACACCTTGTTAGAAATCCACTCTGTTTGAACGCTTATACGATACTAAGTTAGAATTAGTCCTAGAATTTCTTAGATCATTTATTTATCTGTTTTTGTGGTAGTAGGTTTATGTTTTATATGGTATAAATAATGTTGATGCCTTTTGGAAAAGAGATAGTCTGCAGTAAATCCACACAATTGCTTAAAAAACATCTTTCTAGTTGTATTGTTCATTTAAATATCTTTATTGATGTGATTTAAATTCCCCTGGCAAGTTTATGTTAATGCCTAGCTGCAATTTAAGTTGTGATTATTTGAATCACACACTTTATTTTGAGATAAAATAACAACAAACAAAAGAGACAATGACTAACAGAGAAAGTCACCCTGTGACAGCATTCACTTTGACATCCATCTGAGTTAAATTCTTTGCACATTCTCCTGTGTTCCCTTGCTTTTGTAAACAGTTTTATCTGCTCGTTCCATTGCTGCAGGTAAATTCACTTCCTCTTTGTCTGTGTTTGTGCAGGTTTTTGGAGATTATTATCACTTCAGGCACCATGCCGTGGCGAAGAGGGCATTGTCAGGACACAAGGGAATGCACGTCAGACTGGAGAAAGAAACACAGGTGGGACCGGTGTCAGTTCTATCACAGTTCACTGAGGCACTCCTTATTGGCAAGAAAAAGCCGGAAGACAGATTGGATTACACAGTGAACTTGTGTAAATCAGCAGAGGAAAGGAAGCCAGCATCGATGACAGCTTGTCAAACATTTTTTTGTTGTTTTTTTGTAATCCACACTAGTCTGTCCATCTGTTCCCCTGACACACTTCGGGGCACCACATAAATGTAATTATGTTAAATATGATTTCTCTTTAATTGTGCTTAAGAACTGATGTTGCACCAGAGTTACAGAGGATGGTGATTATAATTATATGATATTACTCTATATGTAACCAAAACCTTCTTAGTTTGTGATATGTGGTTCCACAAAGAGCAATATTGCCAAGTAGACGAGGGGAAGTTGTTGTTTTTTTCTTCATCTTCTGACCAAGAGCCAGAAAATAAACCTATCAATGTTGTATATGTACTGCTGCAGCACAGGAGAAGTCTGCTATTCTCCTACAGTCACCAGCCCCATGTATTGATTTTATTTCTCCTCCAAATAATATAGTATTTTTCTATTTAAAAAAAATAAATTTTATGTTGTTGAGGTTTTATACATCCTTTAGATAAAACTGTTGCAGTTTAAGTCCGATATTGCCCAAATATTCAATTAATTTAGATGTTTTTCTTCTATATTTCTTTTCTAAACAATAATTTGAACCTTATTCACTATTTAAGCTGCATTTTGACATTTTACATAGGATATTTGTCTTGGAGTTTAACTGGCTTAAACTATAGTTTGTGCATATCGAGGAGAAATTGCCCTGATTAATTTAGGCGGATCTGTTCACCAACTTGTCACTTAAGTGTTTTTTTAGTAAAAATCCCAACCAAATCTGTTTTTTTAAAGAAAGAAAAAAAAGCTCACTTTTCTATGTATATTTCCAAATCGTTATAAAATCAGTTTAGACAGCCAGAGCCTGGGGGTGGTTGGCAGCACAGTTGGAAAATGGGGGTGGAATCTTCAACCTATTGCATATTTTCCTGCAGACAAATGTAAGGTCTTTACTGAGTTTTGTGAATGTTTTACATCAAAAGAAGCCAGTTCATGTGAAGCATATGAAACTAATGAAAACTATTTAATAGCACTTAACATTAGTGTTGAGAACCAAGTAATTAAGGATCCTATTAGGAAAAATCTGCTCCTTAAATTGGCTCTGTGGCCTTGCTATTAGCATTCTTCAGTTTAAGAGTCCTAATTAGATTTCTAATGGGCTGTAGAAGTGTAGATCTCTTTTCAGGTGGAATGATACTATGTGTGTTTGTTCTAAGTATCATGTAGACTGAAGAAAACTGAATACCTGTTGTCTTATTTCCTCTTTTGAACCATGTTGGATACCAAACCCATAATTTAAAGGCCATGTGTCTTCTGTTCTGTCTTTTTGAGTAAAGTCTGTAGAAATACATATTTCACAAAAACAAGGAACACAACTTTCTTTTTCTCTGCACAGACAAAAAACAATATATTAGTACCAGAAAGCAGATAACATGAAGGATAGCGTCTGACATTTATGGTATGTTTATTTTTGTTTTGTTTTTTTAAAGGGGGGTCTGAAGTTTCCAACTATCCAACTATCTTTAAAGTTCTTTAAAGTTTTGATCATGTTTTCAACTAGGGCAAAACAACTTTGCCAAAACTCTAAATTGTGATTTTTTTCCAACCAAATCTTTGACTTTTCTGCACTAACTGCAGGATTGTACATGTCTCTTTCCAAATATGCATTGTTAAATGAGCTTGAAAGCTGGCTTGAACAGAGTAGCAGGACTTTTCTGTTACTATTACTTGCACTCATTGATCAGCAAGTTCAGAGCGACTTCTGTGTGTCTAGAACCCCACTGTAAACACATTACCGCCACATACAGTAAAGGGCTAAAATTAGAAGGTCAGAGTCTACCTTTTGTTAAATGTATTGTGACCTACTGTAAATAGACCTAAAGTGTCTTCATGATTTGAAAATTGAATTGTGGAAAATTATGATCACATTTCAAATGTAATTAATTGATCACCCTGAGTTACAACGACAAGGTTCTACAGGATTTTACTAGGTAGCGTCTGGATACAGCTACAGCTCTGATTTTGAGCAGCTGGAGCTGAATGCTTCACAAGCAACTGACACATGAGTTGGAAAATCTGAACTTTTGCTGCTCCATCCACCACAACAACCAATCAGAGAGGCTTCCTTTTGTGACATTGATGTCTTACTTGGATATGTGGACACTGATGTGAGTCAGCAGGTCGTTAATGTGGGCTCAGGTGAGACGATAATATCTTAGGAAGCAACCCTCATCCACAAACAGCTCTTGGAGTAGATGGTGAACTTCTCCATAAACTGAACACTTCAGAAGTATCTGGTGAATCCAGACCAAGCCAAGCCACTCTTTAGTATACAGATTACAATATCTAATGAGGTGACTAGAACCTGTATAAACCTGAAGGTGCCGTGAAACTGATTATTAAAAAGACTGGAGACATTTAGGTGAGGCACTAATAGACAGACCATAACAAAAACTAAGCTACAACATAAAGGTAGATTATTCAAGATTTTAACCCTTGCAGAGAACCAGTATTTATTTCTTCAAAATCCAAGCTATTTTTGTTACCCAATAGCCATATTTGCAGAGAGAAAGTTGCGGTTAAAAAAATAAATAAATGTAAACGTTTTTCAATAGTATTTTTGAAACAAGCATCCAATCTAAGCACAAAAACAAGCCATTAACAAAAACCTATAGGTTCAAATAAAATCTGGAGAAAACGGAAAATGAGAAAACATTTTTAAGAAAGCAAACGTAGACAGACCAAGGCAGATGCTTCATTTAGCTTTTTTCTTGTTGCCCCCTTGCTGTGCTAGCCTCTCAAAGTGGTGACTACATCTAACTATCCCACTAGAAATGTCTCCGACCCACAGAGATAGTCCAAACCAGATGCTGTTCCTTCCCTGTTCCTTTGTAGATAGAAATATGGCATTAATTCTCTCCTGTGAGAACTAAGCTAACATTGCGCATCAAAATAACACATCAAATATAAATCCCTTTTATTGCCCAACAATGGGGAAATTCACTCTCTGCATTTTAACCCATTTTAACCCATCCCCTTTGGAAACAGTGGCCCCTTACATTGGCCCCTTGATTTTACATTATTACATCATGTTCTACTCAACCATATTAGTTTAGTGTTATTTGGAGCTGTTCCGAAGATATTCGGTTTTGTAATCCAAGTAACTTCTTCCTATGGGCAACAACTTGAAGGCACATCATCCGCGTGCGCTGGCTACCATTCATTCATCCTGTCTGCTGAACTGAAGCTAGTTTTACTCACATTCTCGAAAGATGTCTAGTGCTACTACCACGGATGATCTCGCTCTCGAAATGGAATTGAGTGATTCAGATTAGCTAGCCAAACGAATTGAAGGGGTAGAGCGTAGCCGCCTGTGGCCCGGGCTGCCTCTCACAACTCCAGTCCGGCGTGTGATTGACGTCATACACAGTTTGTTTTAAAAAAATAGATCTATATTAAAAAATATGACCGCGGATGTCTTGGGGACCTGTGATTCGCCTACATGTTTTGAATGCTGGCATTACATAAAGAATAAATTATGAACAGTTTAGTTTGTGCCTTCAACTCGTTGCCCATAGGAAGATGTTACTTGGAATACAAAACCAAATATTTTCGGAACAGCTCCAAATGACACAGAACTAATATGGGTGAGAAGAACATGATGTACTAACATAAAAACAAGGGACCAATGTAAAAAAAAAACAAAAAACGGTGTTCCCTTTAAGGGTCTTGCTCAGGAACCCAGAGTGGAGGCTGTGGGGATCAAACTGGATACTTACAACCTTCTCAGGACACAAGCGCACTACTCTAACCACTAGAACAAAATTCCCCATACTGAGTGGCAGTTTTTCTAATTTTTCTTTTTCCATCTTAAAATAAGTTTGTTTTTTTTTGCTTTCTCATAACATATATCATCACGCCTTTCTCCCTGCGTCAGTTCCCAAAAAACAAACTGATGCTGATTTATTTGAATACGTCTCCACCCTGCATTCTGTGTTTTTAGCCTGCGTGCACATACCTACCCTGTTTCTTTCAGTGTTACTTTCAGGGAACAGCCAGAATCACGCTGTTGCCATTTGCACAACTGAGAAGAAGGAAGGAGCTGTGGAAATCACTGCTATAAAATATATCTCAAACAGCACCCATAACTGCTTCTAAAAACATGGGTGGTTACTAAATGAGATCTAAGTTTTCACATCTGCACTAAGTGTAGGCTGAAAGGATTTTGTTGCAGCTTTTTCGAGTCTCTCTCTGGTAGTTGAGGAAAGTATTTATGGTTTGACAAGCTTGAAAGCTTCAAGGCATGTTACTAAGATATGGTGACATTTATTTTTGGCATGTGTCTGCCGAAATATCATTGAGCTTTCCCACATAGAGAAGTCTGTTGGTGTACTGAGAGAACACCATATCAATATTAGTAATTAGATTTGTTTTCATCTTTCAAAAACAACCTAAAATGAGAGATCAATTAGGTTTTCGCAGGGCAGCGGCAGATACAATGATTTTGTCATGGTCATACAAACGGCTTAATAATGTACAAAACATTGTTATAGATAGCCGTGTTGCAGCAAGGCAAAAAATGTACGATGAGCAAAGCACAATTGCTGCCTAAATTACAGGCTTGATTAAAAGTTGATTGTTCTCTGCTAGTAATATTTGTCAAGGACCAGAAATAATCAACAAGATGCACATGGATGTGATATAGCTTTATCTATTTATTGTTTTCTATGGAACAGGCAAACTGAAACACCTTGGAGTTTGGAGTGGAACTTGTTTTGATGCTGCAGCTTTAAAGCCTGAAGTTGTGTAAAAACATTTTTGTTGTTTTAAAAGAGAGTCTATAACAGAAGTCAACAGTTCAAGTTAACTGTGTATTTGAACTGTAGTCCATGGAGGGCAGTATGTTTTTGGCTGTGAAACAACAACTTGCACAAAACATACCTCCACATCTACACCAAAAAGCAGGAAAAAATACTCAAATCAAGGCTGCTGCCAACAGAAACGACCCCTTTGCAGAGTTGAGTGAGGGCTGGGCTTACGTGTGTTTATTTAAGTTCATCTGTGTATTCATTTGGGTCTGTGAGAAGATATGTTCCGCAAAGTAAGAAAGAAAAAAGGTTGCGCTTCATGTGGTTTTAAGAAAACAGATTTAGAAAGGCAATAAAAACAGAAAGGTTGGATTTGGATTAGTCATTGCTTTGCTTTCAGCTTGTTACAGTGTTACCTCCTCCTAATCCAGAAGCTGCATTTCATGCAGCCACCATTGTCTCCTTCCTTCTGCCTCTGTGGCACTTCCAATGCCGCTTATCATTGTCCCCTTTGAATAATCACGCAGTGGCATGATGGCAATGGCAGTTGCATAATCTTTTACCATTATATTTGTAAAGGTCGTTTGTCATCTTTCCTCTGCACACCCATCCACCCAATGAGGGAGAGAATTGATTTGTTTCGGGTTGGCTGCTATTGGTTGTCGTATAAAATATAGTCTAGGACAGTTTCCTGCATACAGTGTTTGAGAGAATATTTTCATGACTCTTTCTTCCTCTCCTGAATATCTTTAGGCTTACGACAGTTTGCAGAGGTCAAACTGTCGTAAGCCTCACACTCTCAGTCTGATCCTGAGAGTTCAGTGTTTTCATTGTCTGCAAAAAGCGAATGCAGATGGTATTGTTCAAAGTTCATTATTAATCTCAAATCTAATATGGAAAGCAGAACTAATATTCCACTACTTTATCTCTCAGCTTGCTGATCATCATAGCTTGTTTCTTACATCCAGCCTTCAATCTAATTTATATTTAGTATATTTTGGTTACCTCCAAAATATACCAAATATAATGATTCACAATAGGAAAAATGTCACTCAACAAAAGTATTTGTGCTTTCTAGAAATTAGTACAGAATATTACATGGAAAACTTGGTGTATGGAAGGAGAACAAATAACGAGGAAGGCTTATCCTTTGTTGTATACACAAAGGATGGCCTCATTCTCTTTTTTTATGACCGGTTAGTTCAGGAAACTAATTAAAAAGCAAATAAGTCTCATCTGGATTTAATGTTCAGTGCTCAGAGGACCTTCTTTTTATTTTAGCCACTAAATAGGGATTCAGCTCAACAAACAGCACATAATTTAGTCATCCTTTTTCTATTCTTTAAAGTTACCTTTATAAGTACGTTTTCCAAAATTCCATTTATGTATTTGAGATCTGTTTTTTTTGTTCACTAATTTTTTTTTTCCATTATAGTAGGGAAATATGAAAATGAAGTATGTAAAACCATTTATATGTATAAACTTTATTCTCTCCCTCATTATCAATTCATCTATCAATTCATCCATCAATCTATCTGTCCAACCTTCTATGCATACAAATTTTTTTATTTTTATATCCTGACCACTATACAAATATCATTCATAAATATGCAGTATAGTTTTGTTTTTACAACTGGGATGAGAAGGATTGGGAACTGAAAGTATAGAATTCTAGCAGACCAAATATTTAGAGTACTGTCATCTAAAGTCTTAAAGCCTTTTTGTCGTCAAAGGTGCCTGGTCACTAGTATTTGTAAAATTTTGAACTGTAAGCATAGATTTTGTCTTGTCTTCTTTCCCCCCATTATAATTTTCAGTACTCAAAAATGTTTTTTTAGCCTTTCTGCCGTGAGAGTGAATTCAATAGTAGGCGTAGAGGAAACATTGCCCCATGTGTGAGGTAGGAGCCTCCACAAAATGTGTATTTTTAAAAGACAGATGAACAAGCTCAGAGTAACCATAGCATAATAGTTTGCTATTGGTTAACATTACTACTCACCATATGTAGTAATTGTAGATGGTGTTCATCAGAGATTTCCAAAGGTTTGCCAACATTTCCAAATTCGGAATACAACAGAGACACTTTTCTGTAACACATCCATTTTTTTTCTGGTATTTAGTGAAAAGGTGTTTCAGGTCAGTTTGACCTTTTGACCAATTTAACAAAATGTCTCCAGGTATTAATACTAGACACAAGCCACTTTTTGTATCTTAGAAAAAGTCAGGTACAAAGAGCATAAGTATGACGTGAAGAACGAGGGAAACTATTGGCACCCTTTGAAGCGTAGTTCTCTGTTGTTACCTGAATGAATGGCTGACGGGTCTCAATGGAAAAATAATTAGTTTTTTTTTCAAACCTCTTCTTAAGTCGTCAGCACTGTGGTTCTACTCAGAGTCTCCTGTTAGCTCTTTGGCATGGTGCGTTCACGGATCAGAAAGCAATTGGACGGATCAGGGCAGGTCTAGCTGAACATCCTTTCAGAAGACTTTCCTAATATGGAAGTATGAAAAAGTAATCTGTGTGTTAAACAAAAGAATTAATGGACAAATGAGACATCAGAAAACCTAATTAGGATTATATACAAATTTGGTTTAAGTCTGTACAGCACATGATCTATTATTAGAAATAAGACTTGAAGGAAAAAGTACAATGATGATAAAAACAACCAAACTACAGCATGCAGGTAATCCCTTTTCTCATTGGTGACTGAGTTAGTATTTTGTTGCACATACATGCATAGACATACAAGCCAATACATCTACCATCACTTCTGTGTGGAGCTGAAAGTTTTAAAATTGGCCATAGGTTATAAAACAAGCATGGCTGGTCGTTTTTTCTCTCTGTTTGATGGACTAACAATCTTCCCACAGAGTGTACTCCTGCTCTCACTTACTGTCAGCTCAAACTCACTGAGTTCCATTAAGTGGGTAAAGTTACTGATGGATGTCCTTTTTTCATCTTACAACAGTAACACAGAAACCAGCCAAATCTCTGGATCTCTTGTTTCCAGTCGATTTCTATCAGAAACAATAGAAGCATGTTCCGTCCTTAATGATCAAACACTTAATATCCTCAGGAATCTTTGCAATAGATGAAGCAAATATTTTATCATTCATGCGAATTCGGATCCCATGCTTAGACCTCCCTCTGATTTCATTTCATCACTTCTTTGTGCTGTGATGTATGTCAATTCCTTTTCCTCACCCTAGACCACAGTTTTTTTTCTCCCTGTTATTAAATATTTTAAATAGTTTTGCTTCGGAGGATACGGTTACATTTGCAATGTTTCTGGAGTGAAGGGGCTCACAGAAGGCACTATGAAAGACCCAACTGTTTCCCTTATTCTTCCTTTCCGGAAGGTACAACAACCCATTACATACAGTAAGGGTGGACCTGTTTTCGGTTCAATTTGCAAGTTTTCTAAGCTTTTGTTGGGCTGTTCTATAAAGACTTGAACTCATACCCTATTCCAGACAAACATCTTCATACTGTACTTGGAAAATAAAGTCCAGTGGTTTACTTTTAACTTTTTTGGAATAACTATGACATGGATGATCTTCCCCAGCATACAACAACTAGCAATGGGCAGTATATTACATGCTGGCTTATACTATATGTACAGATGGCCTACAGTAACTGATATCTGGATCAATGACCCTTAGACTTTAGTGTGTTCTCCACACAGCTGTCACTTTTGTTGCCTATAACAAGGTGATGGCTTAATTCTGTCTGTGTAAATTAAATGACATGTTCTCTGTTTCTGATGATTAACTACAGTTATTGGTAAGTATTGACATTATAGAATATACTTTAATATCCTTGTTTTACATCAAGAACACTTTCAGTACTTGAGCCATTGTCCCCCTGGATCCGAGAAATGAAGCAAATTAGATTTCCTCGTCGTCTCTGTTTTTTTTCTCTGGAGTTATTACGTTTGAACCCAACTGGGGCCATGTTTTCCCCGTCTCTTGTCCTGTTTGACACTGCAGTCACATCTGAAACAGCAAGATTAGTAACAGCAAATATGATGTGAGGGCAGCAGCGTAAACTGGGAATTTTCCTTTGTGCGTGGGTTTATTTATTAGTATGCTCTTTGTGTGTGTGTCTGGGTCCTCCAGGTCCTGTGGGCGGAGCAGCAAGTGGTGAAACGAAGAAAGAAGAGGGACATTTTTGAAGACCCCACAGACCCAGATTTCCCCAAGCAGTGGTACCTGGTGGGTTCAGGCCTTTTTTTCTTCTTTTGATATATGATTAAAAGTTAACAGCAACTGACAGCATAGAAGTGTTGTTTTCATAAACTATGACGTAAACATTTAGTTAAAAAATTTTATTTTTATGGCGATAATGAAACGGTCACAAAATAAAAATGGCTCTTATATGACAAAAACTGATGAGACGTGTGTTAGTTTTTGTCTAGACTAGATGAAAATGATGGACAAACAAATCAATGACATTTCTACCTATTACATATCTAATCTCCAAGTCAAAGGTAAAGGATCCTCAAGACTGCGCCCAATCCTGTGCATATTTGGCCCCGCCCGCCACCACCTGCCAGGGGCCTACAGAATTGTTGGTCAGAAGGATCTATGGATATACTTTAAATATGATCAATTCAAAACAAAATCAGATGTAAAGTATAGACAGATGGTAAATGTGCATGTAAACACGGACAGAAAATACCATCAGCTGCACCTTAAGGCTCTCTGCACTGACATTCCTAGAAAGATAAAGTCCTGTCAACATTAGGCTAAAGCTGGCTGAGTTGGTTGCTGTAACATTAGTTCAGTCGTTTTGTGTGTCGCTGTAGAAAATAGAGTGATTTATAGTTGGACAGCAAGTGGAATTTCACCAAAGTTTACCTCCTTCACTATGTTCATTTTGTCATCCCCAGTGGGTATCTATCATGTGTGTAGATCTTTTAATCTATGCTCTCCTGTGTTAATGATTCCTGTGATCCAGACAGCAATGGTTTGATTTAATCAGTGACCTTCAGTCTGTAATTTCAGGGCTAGTTACGTTTTGTTAATCATTTTGATTTGAGAACGGTGAAGTTTACAGATCTCAGTTTTTTTCTACTAAGTTTGAACATATGCAAGTTCCTTGTAGAAAATAAAGGAGTCAGTGAGAGGGAGACTGAATGAGGCATGAATGGCATGAATAGGAGATGATGAGGAGGGACGGATGATGATTAAATCTGCATTTCTCCTGCTGTATAAGCTTTTAGCTCCAAATGTTAAAAAAAATAATTCATGCACATTTTCGTCTAAAACTGAAACTTCTGAAGCTGCCAAGAACAACACTGCAGTATAGTATTATCAGCATAAAATGAATATGAAATCCCAAAATGACACATGATATCACTGTCTGTATATTTTGTTTAAAGTCATAATTATTAGAGCAGAGATCTGTGATTTTATTTTTTTCAACAGTGCATTTATTTTCATCGGGTTAAAATGTCATATTGCTCTTCATATATTTTATCACTGTACTTGAAGCTTGTAAGCCATACATCCCCCCTCTTCATCACCAGCAAGGCTTTAAAACAAAATTCAATACATCTCAAGATGTTTATCATATAAACATGATCTGTACATTAAGATTCCTTTTGGTGCTGTTGCTATGTCTATTCCATCATTCATAGTCTGCTTAGAATTGTCTGAATTCCCCTACTAATCTCTCTTTTTTGTTCTTGTTTATTTACCTGAAACTGTCCCTGCAGCCGACCAAACATGACATAAGACAACAGTGGATGGAAGTCCTGAAACCACCTCTGACATTTAGCATTAGACTTTTAAATGTCTTGACTGTCTTAACATTCTTTTCCATACAAAGTATTCTACACAACTCTGACTTCAGAACTAAGAGGATTATAAAGCTTCTTGAGTCTGAGGCGCATGCCACTGGAGCTTTGTTGGCATCATAGCCATTTTACAGTACAGTGAGAGCTATTGCTGAGCTGTGAAGAATATCATGCCCCCTTAATGATTTCTCTTTATTGCTTTTTTGTCAGGCTTTATTGATTAAGCTCATCAGAAAAAGAGCTGTGCCTTTTTGTTCCTTTTTAATCAGCAGATGTTTTTGCTGTAAAAATCTCCCATCAATGTCATCTTTGCCTATTCTCTTTCTTACTATTAAAACACTGACCTTACCTGGGCTCAGCTGGGTTTGTATTGCTTTTGATCTTTATTTGAGTTCTTTTTTCACTTTTCTGGCTAACAAAAGAATGCAATCTTGAAGACTACATTTCTCCTTCTTTTCCATCTCTTTGGACCAATATTTATCATGTTGATTTCTGACCTTTTTTTAGCGGACTTCATCTTGTCTAACAATTTCTAAGTAAATGATTTCCTGATACAAGCTGGGTGTGGGAGTCAATTCTTTAGTCACCTTATTGTTTCAAACAGTATTAAACATTAAAGTGGTGAAGGCAGGATATTTGTTTCTATGGATACTAAGATAATAAAGTAATTTGAGATTTCTTACCGTCCCCCATACACAAAAATAGTTTAACATGAACTAAATGACACATAAACACTGTAGTAATCAGTTGGATCAGTTCATTTATTTTGGGGTAATGTGCTTCGTACTTTATCAAAAATAGTGTTTCTATCTTATTTTGTCTCTTTAATATTAACCATATATTGTGTATTTTATTCCAGCCGTTAATACAAGGACATTGGTATATTTGCCTTATAATTAAAGGAAATATTTCTCATACAAAATGTACATGGAATGGAAAGGAACATTGCAGTGTGAGAAGGTTGTTTTATTCTCTGAGTCTATATGATTCTATCTTTAACCACCTCGTCCACCTACAGTGCTTACTTTTCATACCGCTCACTGTATGACTTTCAGCAGCCACTCTATCACCCCTATTTGTGTTCCTCTCCCTCCACTCTAAAGCTCACACACTGTTATTTACGTCAAGAGCCAAATATTTTCAAAAGGACTGGTGAATTTCAACAGGTTGCCTTTCATTTTGGCTACCTTTGTGTTAAACATTGCTGCGTTTTTGGTTTTCAGCCTTGTAAGTAGAAGGGTGTTGTTTTTTGTTGTATTTTTGCAGAAGAATTGAGCTTTTCTGTCAGTGACAAAACCTATCTGCCAGTTTTTGTTTGAGAAGAGTGGCTCTAAGCAAACTGACACCTAAACAAAAGACTTTTGTTTCTTTCAGTCCAATCCAACACATCAAGACTTGAATACGAAAGCAGCTTGGGCTCAAGGCTACACTGGGAGAGGTGTTGTGGTGACCATCCTGGATGATGGTATTGAAAAGGACCACCCCGACCTCATCAGCAATTATGTAAGTGGAAAAAATGCTAAACCTAAGCTACAGGTGCAACTACAGCTGAATTTGTCAAAAATCAATTAATACAGTCGATTTTTTAAATTAACGGTGAGAAAAACAGAGAATGCCGCTGCAGGCTTGTGCAGAGCCAAAAGCTATGCACTGCTTACGTTTTGGTTGAAATGTTAATTATGAATACGTTACTTCTGTCTCAGCAGACATGTTTTATTTATTGTCAGTGTAAGTGTACGGCTAGGATTATGCATTGAGCATATTAACAGGTTAGTAACATGCTTGTTCATTGTCATGTAGCTGCTCTTCACGCTGGAATAATCAAACCAGCTCTACTGGAGGTTGTTGTTAAATTAACAACTTCTTACAAAAATTAATTTACACAATGTTTATATGTAATTAAGATTTTGAATAATACCAAATTGTTCTAAAGAATCAATGTTCAGCATAAAATGATCGAAGCCAGGAATGATTAAGTTGAGTGTTTCAGTTTTTGAACAAGAGAGCACATGGATTCCACATTACACTGAAGATTCTACAATAACCCTGTAATCTAGCACTTTGACTCTAAGGAACCCTGTTGTAGCAAACTGACTGAATCTTTAAGCTTTCCTAAACCAGCAAAAGAAACAAAACCTGCTCGGTACTGCACTCCACAGTAAAATATAAAATATAACATAATTATTTATTATGTAAAAGCTAAATGCCAGTCCCATTTTCCACTTTATATAAAACATGTACTATTTTAAATGTCAAAATTTGATGCTAGAAAATTGGTCCGTACTTTTGTCTGTTCTAGTTTAGACAACTGAAATGCTGCTCTTGCCAAGGGACCAATTAGTTCCCAGAGCAACACACAGCTGGCTCAAAGCTGTGCAGCCAGAGTATTGACTGGTTCTGCAAGGAGTGATCACATATATCTCCTATGCTACCACACTAATTTGTCTTCCTGTGAAATTCTGGATCACATTTAAAATCCTACTTATCACACATAAAGCCCTTAATGGCCTGTTTTCATCTTACATTAAAAATCTCATTATTCCCCATCACCACCCCATAAGTCAATACTCTTAGAGCAAAGGATTTTTTTTCTCTCCCAGATTTCCAGGCCCTCATTGGGAGGCAGAGTGTTAAGTTCTCAGGATTCTTTCCACGAGCGTTTATTTTTAAGATCTCATCCAAAAGTCACCTGTTGTATTTTCTTTATATTTCCATTTATTTCTCTATATAATTGGTCGTGTGAGAGGTAGCTTGGGAAATTAGTTGTACTCTTTTATAGGTTTCTATAATAGACCAAAACAAAGTAGCTCAAAATTGTAAAGTGAAACAAATTTATTCATTGCTTACCTCCTAATCGATACTTTGTTGAACCCAATATGCTGCCATTACAGCTTCAGATCTCTTGGGATATACCCCCCTTAGCCTTGTACCTATAGAGACTTTTGTTTATTTGCAAAATACCACAAAGTCTTTCAGATTAGACTGAGAGCTTTTGTGGACATCACTCTTCAGATCTTATCATGGATTTACTTCAGATATCATCTCAAAAGAATCAGTATGTGAAAAAGTTCCATCTGTTTTTTTCCTTCATTCCAGAAAAAGAAAGTCCTAAATTATATAGAATCTTCACACATTAGGATTATAGGCTCTGGATAATAAATTTTGGTATCTCAGTAAATAACAATATTGTGAAATAATTAAAGCATAATTACAGAACGTTGAGTGGAAGGAAAATGTTGGGTTGGAAAAGGTGGAACAGGGACAAACTTAGCCCAGAAAGGAAGATTAAGCGAAGCCCATTCAAGAATGCTGAGGCTTCATAGGGAGGGAGCTGAGGCTGGAAGCAGTGCATCAAGAGCCATGAGCACAATTCTGCACATAAGCTACATTTACTGCATTCCTTATGTAAAACAATCGCTGAACATGCGACGAAAAAGACTGGACTGCTGGTCAGTGGTCCAAAGTTACTTTTAAATTAGTGTTTGCATTTCATTTGAAAATCAAGATCCTAGAGCCTGGAGTTAGGGGCAGAGAGATCTAGAATCCATGTTGCTGGAAGTCCAGTAAAATTAGAAAGGTCATTATTAAAGGCCAAACAACATAAGCAAGATAGAAAAAGACTATAAATACTTCACATAGGTTTCAAACTCAACATAAACCTTATCAAATATGTGGTGTTCCAGAAGGTTATTTAAGCTTCAACTGAAACTAAATCCATTTTATGTTTTCCAATTTAGCTTAAAAACAGTAAGCGGAGGCAGACACAGTGATTGAGGCTGAGTGTGAATGCAGATAGGATCTATTTCAGTAAAACAGGTGAAACAATGAGAAAAATATGCAACCTGTTATATTTACATCCCACTTGTTAATTCAGGGGCCAACAGTGGAAATTTTTACCATGTGTAACTACCTTTCAGTGGGGAAGCAGGAGTCGCTTTTTTCTCTCTGACTGCAGAACAGGCTGCAGCGTCTGTTTCTGACGGTGCCTTGGAGAAGAGAGGGGCTTGCTCAATCACTTCTCGCTGAAGACACTAAACTCTACTGTTTCACCCTGTCGCCAAAATCTACAATAAGATTTGTGGCTAAGTTGCTAAGGGGTCTGAAAAGGCCCTAAACATAGTGCATATCGCATTAAAAGTCAGGGTATGGGCATAATTCACTTATGTTTCCACTGTCAGTGGTGAGCTTTTTTTTTTCTTCACACTGGCTCTCTGCTGTCAGGGCTGCAGCTTGTTTACCTACCTCGGTGAGCCGATGACAGTGTTAATGGCGTATGGTTTGCATTTTCACAGTCCAAATAAGGAGGAAATGTGTTTAAAAACTGCAACAAACTGGCGACCTGTCCAGGTTGTACACAGCATCTCACCCATAGATTACAGAGATAGACACTGGCCCCAATGCTTTATAATATCAGTGACTTTAGAGGCAGGCCGATATATCGCCATATTCATTTTCACTGATTATTGGAGCTGCTGTTTTATCTACTGGTGTTGGTTTCTGTGTTTTGTTAAGTTAGGACATTTTAAAGCTCTCAATGCTTCCTTCTGCTGACAGGCTTTTTTAAAGATACTTTCATTTTTCAGTGCCAGTTGGCACCTGCCCACACTGCCAATGCTACCATAAGCTGGGTCAGTGGTCATATTGTTACTGCTCTTGATTTGCCAGCAAACCTCCCTGACCCTAACCTCTGTTAAAGCAACCTTAAAACAACCTCTCTCTGCTGTGACATCAGCCATATTCTGGAATATTCTGGAACATCAGCTAATCTACAGCTTAGAGAACATGCTTAGATACACTAAGGTTATCAGCAGGGGTGAAAGTAGATTGAAATTCTTGCCAGTACTATACAAAAAACGTTTATTGGCCTGTATTTGTTTGTTACATGCATTTTTGATTGAATTTTCTTTTTTTCAGATTTATAACAATATAACCTATATATATCTATACACATATCTATACACATATATATCTATACACAAATCTATCGGATTTCTGCACAAGCACAGTTGGTGGAGCAGAGTTTGCCAGAGTTGAGTGCGCATCAGACACATATTGAATAAGCATGGGTGAAATTTAACAATGGCACATTCAGATCATCAGGTTGGTTACTGTACCCCCACTGGCACAAAATAGTAGCCAGCAGCTTTTACTAGTATGCAGTATCAGACCGTTCCATTTTATTTTCACCCTGGTTATCAGGCAGATCAGGTTTGTCCTTAGGATGCCCCCTCTAACCCCGACTACAGGTGTAGGAGACAGAAGGTTCCCGGCAAAATTAACAACTGCATTTTACAATGTTCTCACACCACCCATGATGCTGTGCATGATGCATGCTAGGTGCAAAAAGTAGCATAATCACAGTTTCTTTCTCCCAGCAGCTTTAAAATTTTAAATCCATTACTTTTCAGTTTGGACAGTTTTTTTATTCTTATAAAAAAGTCTTAAACCGCATGACATATTATGTGCCTCCAAATTATTATGACAGTCTAGACCCCTCCCATGGAATAAAGAAAAGAAGCTGATTTAATTAATGCCTTCTCATGCATTTCTAAATAGTTTTTGGTGATTTTCAGGTTGTAAATAAACAGGTTAATTGTTTTTTTATGCCCAAATATCTTTTACATTTAAGATTGTCTTATTCAGTTGATTTATAATTATTGTTAATAACTGTATAGTTTCTTATTTTTTTGTTTTTATGTATTCTTTCCTGTTGTGAATTGGCTTGCTTTTATTTTCCTATGACTTTATTGCTTTGTTAAATGTTTTTCCTACTGTGAGACAATGACAATATTTCCTTTTTCATTCTATTCTACTCCTTTCTATTTTCAGAATCAGAAATACTTTAACAATCCCAGAGGGAAATTACTTGTGTATATATATATATATATATATATATATATATAGCATAACATTTCTGTTTAAAACATCTTTACTATTAATCTTATTTAATATTTTAATACTCTGAAACAGGTGTTTGGGTTTTGATTATCTGTAAGCCTTAATGCCATAATTTTTTGATGAATAAATATAGTTAATTGATTTTACCTTTGTAAATGAGTGACAAATAATCTTGAACTTGTTCACTATATTCTATTTACGATTAAATGTATTCTGTTCTCAATCACATTGCTCCTGGGGCTGCTTTTTTTCTTGCTGGAATGGGAATTGTTCAATGGTTTTCTCTCTGTATTATCCAGTCATTTGTTCCTTTATCTTGATCTAGCTTTCCTGTCCCTGAAAGAAGAAGCATGATGCTGCCACCACCATGTTATAGCACTATGACTGCGTGTTTAGGATATTACACTGTAGTGTATATGTTTAAAAAAGATTTTTATATCATGTCACAGCATTATTTTCCACCCATTTGCTGTGGTCCTTAGATGGCAGAAGGCAAACTTTAAATATCCTTTATATTTCTTATTACAGATTTATTTCCTTCCATATGTTATTAAAGATTACATTTTTGGAGAAAACTTTTATTCTTTTAGCTATGGATCTGCTTAGTGTACGGATAGTTACCTTCCCCTCAACAGTAATGCATTACTTATTGACTCTTACATAAAGTCTTTATAGAAATAGTTTTATGTTTTATATATCTACAAAAATAAAAATTGTAAAGAGTATGAATTTTACCAGTGAACAATTCTACAATGCCTGTAATCAGTTTTCCTTGTTCTTTTAATGTGTTCTTTTCATCCTTACATCTATAAAAGATTTTGGATTGCTTTGAGCTCAAAAAGCCCTGTATGAAAGAAGCTAATTGATGAAAAAGAAAAGTGGATAACATGCTGTGGATTATGTGTAGCATACAGCTACTTTTTATACATCCAAACAATTTTCAAAATAAAAAAATCTAGATATAAAAGGGTAGAAGAAGGTTAGTTAAACTCTTGAGGAGAAATTAGAAATAACTTGATTGCTATCTATTTTCATGTCTCTTTTAGGACCCTGAGGCAAGCTACGATGTTAATGATGGAGATGCTGACCCCCAACCAAGATACACACAGCGAAATGAGAACCGGTAATTCAATAGCAGCCACCACATCACATAAATAACTCATTCTGCTTTCAGTATGGGAAACACACTCATAATCAGAATAAGGATTTTACAAGGAAGCCTTTGTTTTTTGCTAAACGACACTACAACATCAGCGCCTTGTAGTTCAAGCTCTGGCGTAGGTAATTACTTTTAGAAACAGCATGTTTGAAAACACTGGTCTTTTCTTACAGCTGTATCGGTAAACAGTGTTTCCTTTTTTTTTCTTTTTTTGTATCCGTACACAAGCCCTGCTGCTTTTGCAGCCTTTCTTGGTCGAGTCCTTACAGCCCTGAAGCAACATGCTTGCTGATTTTTTATTTATTAATTTTTTTGGCCTGGACAGTTTCTGTTTGTTTTCTTGCCCCTTGTGATAACACTGTTCATTTCCCAGCCTTTGGTAATTATACTAAAACATGTTTGTCCCAATTAAATCATGCAAAGCCAAAGCTCCACTAATGACCAATCTGAGCTATACATGCACTCCCTTTTTTACAAACACTGTGGTCTCCTGCTGATGAGAAGCTACTCCCACCTCTCCAATGCTAAGAAACATTCTGGCCCATTCTCTATTTTTTTAAGGAAGCCTCCCTCTAAGTCTTTTTGTTTTTTCAATGTCACTGTATAAAAATAGAACACGTTTTACTGTCCAGACTTTGCTCATCATTGGTCCTCTATAGAAAACTATATGCCACCACTAGTTTCTCTGTCTGATTTCCTATTTGGCTTATACACTTAACAGCCGTTCAAATTCCAGATTCGGTGTCTGTCTCTGTGAGACATCACAGTCCACCTGTCCACCGATGTTCCTAATGTTTCTAATGGTGCTCCTAATGGTGTGTTCACTTTGGATTAGAAAAGGCAGATCTTTGTAACAAGCATGGTCGGCGCACATTTGCTGAATCTAAAAAAAATACAACCCAGTTTTAATGGGTTGTATTTTGTCAAACCAGGCACTCATAATGTTCATATATACTGTTACCGTGCTCAAATTACTATTCATGCTTTTCTTATAATTATATCCATTTTTGTTCTAGATTAGATTTATACAATATATATTTTCTAGAGCTGCAGTAAAACTCCTGAGCCATATTCGAGAACTCTGTATAGATTTTTGGACAAGTTGGCCATTAAATAAAGAGTGGAAGCAACTGACTAAAATGGCCAGATCACTAACTACATGTCCTGCAAAAAAGAGCATGGCTGCTACGTTATCTGTCCCAATTGAAAGGAATATTATTAGTATTAAGTATGACGCTTGCAGAGAGTCAGTATCTTCCTGTGGATTTGCATATCCTTTTCTGTTTTGTGTCATATTTATTAGCTCTGATAAATAGGAAAATGTGACAAATTTTAGTTTATTTAAATTTAAAAGTTGGGATTTAGCTTTTGTCTTACATATATTACTGACCATTAACCTAGAAACAAAAAAATCTGCTGTTATTAAAAAATATATAAAATCTGAAGTTGCATTCTGCTGTCTGGTATGAGATTGTTAATGGGTATGTCCCAGTTCAGGGGCTGCATCCTTTGAAGAACACAGCCCACCCAGACCTCGAAGGCTGGAAGTGATTAACGTTGATTTGGGACGGTCTAGCCTCCAGCAGCCAGCCTCATTCTCACCTAAGCGTAACTTTGGTCACCTAGCAACCATGACACCGTGAGGGATAGATTTATGGAGGCAGTTGAGTCCGCCTTTGCTTTTTTAATATCCTTTATCCTAATATTAATATATTACATTTATTTTTGAAGGAAAAATTAAATTTAGACACTAAAAGTTTCTTTTGTCATTACTTTTTTATGGCTTGTCTTTACAGAAAAACAAAAAACAGTACAATATAGGCCATATCACAGCAGTTGATATGAATTAATGATTATTTAGCTGAAAAACATTTTGCTAGATGTGAACATTTTGATATTAGCTCAATGCAATGTAAGTTTAGCCTCCATCTAGTAGTTCAACACAGGAGAGGGAGGGAAGACAGTCTAAAATCTTAGCAGCTGCCAAAGCGAGCTGGAGTCAAGAAATATCAAACTTTTTTTTCTCTTTTTTTTATTAAGTTAATTCTTATTGAACAGAGTTTTTATTTGAGTTGAACAAACCTACAGTGTTGCCTCAAAAAATCTTTATTTTGGGTCACAGTTGGGATATCACTTCCAGAGCTTAATCAGTCCACCTCGACTCGCACTGAATCATGGGAAAAGTTTGGCCATGAATGATAACCCAGAGCTATCCTTCACAATGGGCAAAATAAGGTCGTATTTGTCAGCCTTATTTGAAGCTGCTGCCTCCTGGAGTCTCTGTAATACTGTGGGATTCCTGTCCTAATCTCTCTCGTAGATCTGAGCAGCCTTTATCTCAGCTCTGTTACATTATAGCTCTAAGAATGTCTTTCAAAGAATCCAGCCCCTTAGTTGGGATAACCCCAATATCTCACATCTTGTCTAATATTATTTTCTTCTTAATGCTGTTCAGATTTTAGATCAGGAGGATATCTGTTGTATGTAGCCCTCTTCATGTGATATCAAACATTTTATTTAATTTTTTGTCAGATTCAGCCCTAGCTAGTCCATTCTAAAACAAAACAAAAAATAAATCTTCTAGTGAAATCTCTTTTTTGTTGGTTTGGAAGAATGATAAGACTCACCATAATGGCAACAACATCAAATCGTTCTTCATCCTCCTGTTGAAGGACGCTCGTTGTCCTCATCAGTGTTTGCTCCTGCCTCGCCTTTCACCTTATCATCCATCAAAGTTTGTCGACTGTCAGAGGTTTATTCTGGCTGAGACATTTAAGGTCAAACCCTCTTTAGCTGAAGATCCCCCCTCTCAGGTTAATCCTCATCATATTCATTTTTTTTCAGTCATTATCCTTGAAATAAAGCTCCCAATAGAGTTGATGCAAATTGTTCAGACTAACGCCTGGACTCTGTTTAAAGTCTGTGGTATATTAAAATGTTTACAAAAGGCAAGATATCTGGCCTCTTGTCTAAGTCCTTATGCGTTCCTTCTTACATGAATGACTAAAATGTCTGTTGTGCTTTTTGGTGTGTTTCACTAAACTTTTTGTACTTTCAAGGAATCCTGCATGTAAACACAGAGCTTTTGTTAACAGATCATATATTAGATTTTTTTTATTCCGAATGAACAGTTGGCGGTACTGAAATACCCCATGGCATATGCTTGTCTCATGCAACAATGCACCTTTTATTGCAAATGTATTTAGCAGTTGGTCCTCTTGTGTCCATATACTATATTTAATCAATTTATCTGCAATGCATCCTTTCTCCTAAAAGTGGTTAGCATCAGCAGGTTTGAGTCTATGCTTTGTTTCCAGTCTTTGACGACAATGTGTGCAGCTACCCAGAGCGACCTAGCTCTCTCTGTCAGAGTGATGCAGATCCTACTTTGTCCTGCTGATGGAACAAAGTACTATTGGAAGGGATAACTCCCTGACTCTGGTCCACTTAAGCTCCCAAAGTGTGTCCTGCTATTACAGCAGAACACTCACATATCCACACATAAAGACACCCTTATCAAACGCTTCTTTCTACACTGTCAGTGGAATTGCCAGAGCAATTATTTTAGACTTTGTTGGTTTACAGGCATGAAATTAAAAGCACAGGGTTGTGACAGTGTCTAAAACATGTGGGGTTGTAGTTTCAGTAGACCACATAGAGGATACCCTTTGAGTTATGTAAATGAGCAAAGAGTAAAACAGGTCATCAGTGAGTAATGCTCACAGTCTCCTCAAAATGAGATTATATGAATATATTCATGGGACAACAGAAAGCAAAGGAAAGTCAGAGGCGGGCAGTTTTCAGAGTCACGAAGGTACGTTCATTTATATTGGTGACACGCTAGACTGATTTCTGAATTCTCATCCCAGGCATTTTCTCTGGAGATGCTCTCTGTCTTGAGCTGACAGTTATTGTCAAAAGAGGGGCAGGCTTAGTTTGGGACATATTTAAGTATAGTGAGCTGTAATCAATGTGTGCTTCATCATGAAAATAGTTCCTTTTTCCTTGAACATCCTTCTTCTTTTTCCACTATTTGTTGTCAGTGTGATACAGATGTATCAGGCTGGGCTGAGGGTGGAAGAAATCAGGATTGATTTCACCCCCTGCCCACAGCAGCCACTAGAGCAAAACTATTTTCAGAAGCCTTTGCAGAGCTGAAAGTATTAGCTTTGGATATCAGTTTTTTTTTTTTTTTTTTGGAATGATTGACAAAACATTTTCTTTTTATTGTAAAGGCAGATCAACCAATTTATTGTATTCAGCCAGTATTATGGAGGATTAAAGGGGACAAAATCATCTAGATAAATTTATCACGAAATAAATGTAAATATACCATGACAATAATAAATGAACCATGAATCAAATAAATAAATACACTTACCGTGAAATAAATAAATGTGCTGCATGGATTCACTGGAGTGGGGATGGTTCTCCTGGAGTCACTGGAGAGACTATTAAGCGTTTACTTTTAGGGAATCAAATTATAATTATTTTACTAAGTAGTTAAACTGTTCTTTTTTTTTTTTTTTTTTGATTGATTGATTGATTAATTATCAAGCAGATGGGGAGCTTAGTAGGATTTATTTTTACAGAATTTGAGCAAGGTGGAGCTAAAACAATGCCATCTGATGATTTCTGGATAGAGCCTATTAACTAAAAAAGAATCTTTATCTTAGATGTAAAATGTTGATATTTTCTCTACACTTCTGGCTTAAAGGCACACCGCAGACTTTGTGACCTAAAGAGGCAGGGCGGCTGTGTTTACCTGTGTAGACATGAAACCTCGGACGTGAAAGTTACAGGTCTAGCACTCCTAATGGCCAAAAGTTACACTGTGTGCCTTGAAGTACTACTCTCAGTTTTCTTTTAGCAAGTGGATTGTTATTAGTCTACATACTTAATGAATATTGGATTATTAAATTAGTTGAGATTTTCAATCAGCAATTCATCGCAAATAATGCTAT